CTGGTGATGCTAGCTTGACCTCATGGATGTATATATATGAGATATATAATGGTTTACTGATTATCAGGTAGTGTTGATTAAGAGGATCAAGGTGATCATTAGGAAATGATAATTTGCGGTACAGAGAAATTTGAGAACAGAAACGAACATTAGGTACAATAAATATGGAGCGGCGGCTTGATGGTTCAGCTTTTAGCCACTCAATCTACTTCAGTTCGGGTAGCCGAGTCACATCAATAATCCTCACACTTAAAGCTTCGGTCATACCCAAGTATCCAGTGGATGAATGAATTAATTAAAAAATTATAAAAACAAATAATACGCATCAATGGTGTTCCTTTCGTTTCAGGTCATTGAGGCTATGTATTTTCTTCGGGATATTTGACGGTTGGTCATTAGCTAGGATTTCATGAAATGAAATAGAATATTTAGCGATTGTACATATGTTTCATTTATTTAAAGTGGAAAATTAGACCCACATAGATTCAAATACTCATTCTCATTTCAACTCGTGTAACTCATTACTCAAATGATTATAATTAGAGTTAATTTTAGTTTTTTGAATCATCAACAATCAAATGACAATATTGATCAGTCTATGCATATTATGCACAAACCATACAATTGTCAAACTAAGCAACTATTTAAAATAATTAAGGAATACTTATTGAACATATATATTTGATTGTGTACATCAACTAATTTTTTTCTGAATTTAATAAAATTACTTCATCCTTGACCTAAATCATTAACTCACATGATGTTTAATAAATAAATCAGGCTATATATTGGTGTGAGATTTGAAAATATATGCAACCGTTTTAAAAGATTGTTTCCATAAAGACATCATCTGTAAACACGGTACAGATAATATCCTGAAAGGTTTAAAGATTCGCTACATAGACCAAAAACAAATGGAAATCTAGTAATTGCCAAACCTAATAAAGTGTCAGGAATAGTTCTAATGAACAAAACAGTATATGTAGAAAAAAATGAATATAATACTTGGTGATCAAGGCAAATTTCAGAAACTGTCTCCTGAGGACGACCCGAAAGAAGAGTAAACGACAGTTGACTCAATCATTAAATGGTCTGAAACAAATCGATGCAATACCCCAGGACTTATATACAACACTCAGACCCATTGTTACATGTGATATTTGTACGAACTAATGATTCTTTTGTACTTGATTACAATCCGTTCGTTTGTGCTCATCTTCCTCTACTTGCTGTAAATTGCACTATTTCGGGCACTGCTAGTTAGCACAATAATTCGGATACTTCTAATTGTCATATTGGCGTTGCGATTGAGCTTGTGTTTGAACAGTTGGATATACATTCAAATTCTGAAGATTACATTGTAAAGGGTTGAAATTTGGTATAGTCAGGAAAGATGTTAAGGATGATAAAATTGTTGCTCATTTCCTCACAGCCTTCGGAAAGGATGTTTACAGCCCACTAAAATCTTTGGCATTCCTAGATAAGCTTATTTCACTTCCCTACGCAAATCACGAAGAACTACAACCAAATCATGTGAAATGCACTTATTTCGAATGCTGTGAAAGAGTAGAATTTCATAAAATGAGTCGTCAGAATAACCAAAAGGTTAGAGAATTTATCTTTGAGTTGCAGAGACAAGCCGCCGAGTGGAATTTCGGTGATCAACTTCATGTGAAGCTGCATGATCGATTGACTGCAGGGATCAACGTACTTAATCTGGAAATTCATGCAAATGCCGAAGTTATATTTTCACGATGTTAGACCTGCGTGTATTAATTATGAGGCAGTGCATGAAATTGACTTCCAGGACATCAAGGATTCCACTACATCACTTAGTTACCTCAATCCAATGAGTACTCAAAGTCATGCAGATAACAATTCATTGAGGAATTTCAAAGCAGGTCACAAATTTGGTAAATGTTTGTCCTGTGGAAAATTTCACTTACGTAGTTTATGTATTTCACCATGCTAAATGCTTTAAACGTGGTAAAATTGGACACATCCAATCATTTCCAAAAATAACTACTGTGCATTTCGCTGCAGGCAATGCTAAACTTCGTCATTCATATCCTACTAATTCGGTTGGTTTTAATGATCATATATCATCCTTATTTACAAGTTCCAGTAATTCGCTTCATATTAAGAAAAGATTGTCTATCCAGTGGTGCTTTTCACGATTTTATTGTTGACACTGGCAGTATCAAGTTCATCATTTCAGTCGGGAAGTTGAAGTCATTAAATCCCGATGTTATAATTAAGCCTACCAAAGTTTCCATTTCGAATATTAATGATCATGAACTTTTTATTCTTGGATGTCGTAATTTGTTAATCAGGGATGATAAATCATCAATTGTAAACTTCTCATCACTGAGCGTTGGTCGTCTCTACTAGGTTTAGAGAATTTAAGAATACTTCAGGGTCAACTTTCCTTATCGACCATTAGAAATAGTTCCAATGGTATGCTTGATAACTTGCTAACTATGGAATTGAAGAGCGGACAATTACATACGATTCCAAAGTCCCCTCATTCTCATGTGCAGGCAAAAAATCTCAAAAACAAACGTCAATTCTACTACTGCTGCGAAGTTAAAAGACCCGGAGAGGAGAGCAGATAAAATTCCTCAGTGCAGAATTATTAAACCGTACTCAAAAGAAACAATGGAATTGCTCAAACCAAAAAATCTACGTAAAAGAACTCCTTCTCCATAATCAGTGGAAGGCCTCTTAAAACAGGTCGATATATCTGCGGGTTATATGCAAGCCAATCACAACAACCACATGGTTTTCAGTACTCTATTGGGATACAAATATCTTTCTTTACTATATGGTGAATAATAGTGAGCACTTCCAAAATTATAGTAAAGTCTTCCAGTTATCTAACATTTAGGCCTGTCTACTAAGACGTCATCAGTTGTTTCTATTCATTAGGTTAAAGTGAATTCAAATAAACTTAGTAACTAAAGGTCTTTAAATGATGAAGAAAATGACAAAAGCAAACGTATCATTGCAGATTTTTGTGCTAATGCAAATATATTAGCGTCTAACTAGAACAGTTTTCACCCATACAGTACTGATTTAATATAAATTATCATACAGGTATGGATTTCAATGAAGTTTAGTAAGTAGCCGAATTCAAGTTGAAAGTAGATGACGCCGAAACTGTTGGAATAACCACAAATTAAAAGCTATTTATGACTATTTTCTTCCATTGTTTAGGGTTTCATTAATGACAACGCTATGTTTGACTGGAGAGGAAGATGTGACCAGTTCCTGAATATACTATTGTAAAGTGTGAGTAGTTTAACATTATATGTATCAGTCAGTGTCCACTTTTATCAGTTACACCTGAGAGATTCAAGTAATAAAAAATGAAATTAGGTCGAGCGGGTTCGAACCCAAAATTTAGAGTGTTAGCGGCTGAGTCAAATTATGGTCAAAAGTCTAATTTAATTTTGTTAGATGATGATTTCCGTAATGATCCATTATCCACTGATGAAATTCCTAATGGATTTGAAAGTAATGCTTCAGAAGAATTAAACTTTGACTTCAAATCAAAGGTCGTTCATTATCATCTAGTCGTTTCTAGTGGATCCGACATTCAATGCGAGAAACGTCGTTTAAATAAAGTCCTATTATTTGTAACTTGGAGATATAAGGATCCGACATTGTTTCGCGGAGGAGGAGAATGTTGGAGAATTAAAAGTTATGCATACTTTTTTTTAAGAAAAATCAAAACGCCGGGAACAGACATGTCAGTCTCTGTGCAAGGAAAAAGTGATAATTCTTCATTGCCTAGACGATGGACTAATCGGAAGCACAAGCCAGTCACTCAGTTGCAGTTGGACTCTAGCACCAGATCCTACGAATCTGCTCAGAGGGGAGGTGTTAGCGGGACATAGACTAGATTAAAGCATGCTCAATGCATGATTGCTTTGGTGCACGCTGATTGGCTAATTCTTATCCAATCAGCGCTAGTCGATAGTTGGAGAATATTCTGGATTTTTCTTATGTAAAAACTATAAATATACTGACGTTTTTCTCTATTGTGCTTCCTACTGGCTTCTGACTTGCTATTTGGAATATAATCTTTTTCCTGTTCAACCGTGTTCTGATTTGGGGACTTGTCGAGTGAATCGGTGTCCGACAATACTAAGCAGTAGGAATAGCTGGGTCATTAACCGAAAGAGAGAAACAGAGTTATAACATAGAGACTTAGTCTTAATGAATCTCCACATATGGGACTTGTAAGTGACATCATATACTGTGTGAGACGAAATAGACTGAGAGGGAAAGAATCTATAAACAATCCATCATTTACGAAGGCAATGCATCTTCCAGACATACATGATTTCACTCGGAAAATCACACCAAGAACTCCTTGTACATTTTAAGATCAATCAACAGACGGGATCAATGCAATAATGAATCGGATGGTAAGCTGAGATGTATAAAAATTAATACTCCTTGTTTAGGATTAGTAAATAACCAGAGATAAGTGGACGGTAATAGTGAGTGGTTTAACCTGGAAGAAATTGAGGCAACACTTAATTTTCTTTAAAATCCTAGTTCGATTATTTTAAGTTTTTCATCCTGTGAACAGTAATGGTCATAAGGAAACTTTTGTTCGAAAAATGGGAGGGAAAACTTACATATTATATACAAAGCATTAAGTTGTAACCAAGCAAAATGCTATATTTTAGCCGAGGCAGTTCAATAAAATTTTATTCTACGTTTACAGCTGTCGCATTTTTACATCGTTATTATAAAATTCAAACTCCATTATCCCATTTGGTAGACGTTTGAGGTGGAATTAAATAATTTTCCAATGTTTATTTAAACTGCATTTATCAAATATGATTTAAGAGCAACAGCAGTCGAATACTGAAAACCGTTACATATGATCGATTCCGAGAGGTCAATTTGTTAAAATTTTGTTTGTGCATTCTTAAGAACTATTTGATTCTACGAGTTTATGACAGTCTCCAATCAAAAATAGAAAATTAACAGTGTAGGATATATTTTAAATAAACTTGGACATAATGAGTAAATGATCATGTTTAAGAAATTTATACAATGATAACCGAGATTTTATTGAGTAGCTTTATATTTGGAGGAATCAGTGTTACTTCGAAGGACTCCGAAACCTGAAGGCAGTCGTCACCATGTGACTGTTGGTGCGGTGTCACTGATTCTTGTGAACAACAGTTAAAATCCCATACGCTTCACACAAAATACTTGATCTATCGGTATGAAACAACACAATATATGTATAAGGATCACCTACTTTGACTCAAACTCAATTACTAACACTGGCGATTCGGAGCTTTCTTCAATACCTGCTGCATGTTTGTATATGCTACTGAGAACTCCTGTGGTTTGATCATTTACAGTCCCGTGAGAGGCAATACAAAGGCCATCCGAATCAATACATTGGACTGCTGTTACTTTAGGGTTGGATGACCTGTGCGGAAACATATAAAGATGACCAATATATATACATATATATATATATATATATATATATATATATATATATATATATATATATATATATAAACATCAAGAGATTCTTCAATCTAAAATGCATTTAACTAGGTTATTTTTAATTACAACTAGAAGCATGGAAAAATATTCGAAAAAACAAATTAAAAAGTTGATTTCATGATTAAACGTGTTTTCTGTGAGGTGGATTGTATAGTTTAAATCAGCACTAATAAGCTCAAGTTTTTCATAGGACTAATAAATGTCTTCTTTGGAGGTGACGATAGTGCAGTTTTAGAGAACTCGCAGCATTTTTACTGGGTTAACATGTTTGTAGATGAAACAGAAGCCTTCACTTAACGAGCTTTCGGATCCAGTAGCAATGGATCACTGGTCTTGAGGTATGAACAGTGAAAAGATAGACAGAGGAAGGCTAAGACACTTGTACCTTAAGGTCTCGTAGTTTGGGGTTATATAAAGCAGTAACATGGAAAGATGAAAAAGGATTATGCTATTAGAAGTTTGTAAATGGAGATAAACAGGAGTTCAAAAGGACAGTGGTATTTTCCCTTGATGAGTAAATCCTTTAGTATTGATTGTATCTAAAAGCGGAAAAACGTTTTGTATTTATTTGAGCCAAGCTTTTTTCGGTTACAGTGAAATAAACATCACAGCATTTTGTGTTCAGCGTCTATCACCACTAAAGCCTTAAAAAACACTTATCCTATAGATAAGTTTTCCTGTTGTTCTCTCTGTGAGATCACTAACCAATCTTAATGACGTAAGTAAAACATTGTTGTGGTAGACCCACATGCTTCTTCTCGGTCGAGGATGGAATACAGTGTGACAACTTTACTGATTTACCTATTTGAACACATAAACATTGGTACAAGGAGACACCGAATACATATGCGCCACACAATAATAATGAGGCCAGTAGTAGTTATCATTGGTTTGTGTGAGGGCTGGAATACTGCCTGGGCGCCCAGACTGAAGTAGGTAGTTTTATTAGGGGGTCACACCTCGAGCATTTGACCTGAAGGTCTAATCCACAAAGCAGTGAGCAACTTTAGGAGATGTGGTCTTATGGCAGTCGGTGACCAACAAATGGTTCACACACGTTTTGTTCCCTCAGGATCCTGGAGCCCATGTGCACCATTGCTTTAGAACCAGGGTTTTCCAACTCCCCTAGGTGGAGTCTTCGTGTCTACCAACCCGAAAATTCGCTTTCCGTACTCTCAATTTCGTAAACAACACCCCCGCCACGAGAAGGCAGTGAATAGGACTTCCTTGATAGTGGCTGTATGCACGTGGCCATATGAGAGCATTTCGAGAGGGGAAACTGACTCTACCTACCCTCAGCCATGCCAGGGCATTTGGGGGCAATGTGGCAACTGCAACAAATGATATCACAACGTGTGCGCCGGACTCACACCGACTGTAAATAAAAGGTGCTGCAAGTCACCATCACGTTGGTTGTGCAGAGCATACTGCTCTACAAGGTCTCTGCTAATTCATGAGGCGATCAAGCTGCTCAACATAGCTAGAAGGATGCCCTCAAACAGACAGTTTTCAGGGAAGCAGTGAGCGTTATCATGCGTCTAGCTATGGATTTAAATGAAACCGTCAAGGTGGACCTTAATAACGCAGCGGATAACAAAAACGCACAAATGTAGGAATGGTTACAAGAAAAAAACCATGCTGAGAAGAAACAAATTATAGAGAGCTCTAAGATATGTGAGTCGACGGTTTCAGCTCCGGATTTATATATCTAAGCAAAACAGACTATAGAGGGACAGAGACTGAGTGGTGTAGATGATTTGATCAACAGACAAAATAAGGCGAATGAGTGGCTTAGTTACACCCAGAAAAGGAAACGGTAGGAAACAGAGTTAGACCTTCACGCCTGACACCAGACCGGACTGTAGAAGTGGGAAAAATTCAGGAAATAAAACTCCGCAACTTGTTGATACGGACCTCACTGACAGGTCAGTCATTCTCATAAGTTAAGGGTCTTCTGAAAAGCAACCAAAGACTAGATTTGAGCATGACCTCAGCCACATTAAGTCCTTAGTAAACAAACTACTTCCAGAAACAGTAGCATGAGTTAATATCCATGAGCTACACAGAATAAGACGAAAAATGGATTCTGAAAGTACCCAGAAAAGCCGCCTCTTAAAACTTACTTTTGCTTCTGCTGAAGAATAAAACTGAATACTGGAAATTCACGCAAACTGACTGGACCCGGAATATGTGTCTGTGAGGATTTCAGCCTGGTTGATCATATTAAGAGATGATCGGCAAAGGTTGAAATGAACGCCACCGGAACGGTGAAAAAGCCTTATGCATAAGGGTTCTCAAATTGCGAATGTTCGGAGCAAAACGATCCGAAAACTACTATGGATGGTAACGTGAAGTTTTTCACAGAATTAAAGGTGTGCTATACAAATGCTCGCAGCCTACATAATGAAATGGCGGAGCCCAAAACAGTGATGGATACAAAAACAGTGATGTCATTGCTATTTCAGAAACATGATTAATGTCAGAAGTGTATGATAGTAGGACTGATAGACTAAACTGTAGGGATGGTGGGGTTATTCTGTACGCAAAAAGTACCTTAACCATACGAGCTATCGAGGCAGTGGCATACGACTCAGGTACATGTAAACTGGTGCGCTGTAGGATAAAATGTAAACGGCATAATGCTGAACTAGTTGCAGTATACCACAGACTTCCTCCTAAACAAACTTAAATTGTTAGAAACCACAATCGTCCAAGCTATATTCTAGAGCATTAGAGATCCCACGAGATATGACCTACAAAACTCCTCATCTCTCTTGAACTTAATCTTCACACACGGTGATGATCAGTCAAATAACTTTTCTCCTACCTTTAGGGAGGAGTGATTGTGCCGTCGTCTTACTCAAGTTCATTACTGAGATGGTCTGTCAAGCAGTTTTACCAGCCCGTCCTAACATATGAAAGACAGACATGAAGATGATCAACTCTGCAGCCTCGGCTGAAAACTGGATAGTTAACTCAGGGGCAACAGTAGAACAAACATGGACTCATTTTTGGCAGTTATACAATCAAGTTACTCAACCATTTATACACTGGATAGTCCCAAAGAAGAAGTATGGCTATCCCTGGATATTCGACGTTTACTAAAACAAAAGAAAAAATGTTGGAACATCTCCACCAGTCTTGGCACAGCAAGTACGATGGAGCACTACAGGTCGGTACAAAATAAGTGTAAAATTACAATCCAGGGAGCTCAGTAAAAATATGAAAAACAGTTGGCCTAACCTGTAACCAGGCAGCCTAAGAGACAATTCTCGTACATAAAATTCTACGGAATAAGGACGCAGCATAGGGTTCCTAACCTAATTAAGGAAAGACATGGACCTCGACAGATTGAGTATGATCAGAAAAAGATAGAGGCTATAGCTAAATATTTCGGGACAGTCTTCTCTCAGGAGCCTCTTCTATACGAAAAACCAGATCCAAATATAAGGTCGAAAAATTGTCTGCTTACTGTAGACTTCAATTGAGACGGGCCTTAGCATTATGGACACGGAAAAGTCAACAAAACCGGATGAACTACACCCTAAAATCTTGAGATATCGCGCAATATATTGCTGCCTCACCGACTACGATATCGAATATGTCACTAGGTCAATGTGAGTTACATACGAACTGGAAGGATGTAATTGTCAATCCAATACAGAAGACAGGATCAAGCCAACTATTTAAATGACTTGTCAAATGCTTTATGAACACCAACACTTAGACTGAAGAGAGGAAATCTGGAGCCTCAGTAAAATTACTGAGAAATATTTTTTTAAGCATTAGGAATTATGTAAGCTATCATAAACTGAAAAGAATACCGTTACTTTGACCAGTAAAATGTCATGAAAATATTGGAGAAAACCTGAAATTTCCCAAGGTCTGGGGAAAGTCCCAAAGTTTTGGGGAAATCCTGGGGGTTTTGCACTACTCCCCCCCCCCCAAAAAAAATTCCAACTTTTCTACAGCGGACCCCCAAATTTACCCAAGCCGGTCAGAAGTTTCCCCAAAATAAGGAGATTGGCTGAAGGGTATATCTAGAGGTGTGTATGACTGAATTATAAAGTTAGTATACAGAAGTTAATTTCATTTTATATTTAATGAGTAATCATGTATGCAAGATGTTGAACTCATCCAAGAATTTATTGTTGTCCCAGCTAGTAAAACTTACATATTGCAACTTCTGAGACATGAAAGGTACGTCTTACCCAAATTATATAAACGACGAAAAGACAAGGACTCACACTCTTGACAAGTTACCTAAAAGTTTCGTTTCCATTTGGAAACTTTACGTATACCATCAACTTTCAATAAACAACATTAGCAAAACGCACTAATGTTAAGGTGCAATTTCAGGCGTTTATCACCGCCTAAAGGAGATAGTCTAGCTACTAAGACACACTAATTCTTGTGAATCCGATTTATTTGACAGCGCGAGATGCTCGTACGTAACTAACTGTATGCTTTCCCGAGCTTCCAATTTTGGGGAAAATTTGACCCATTTTGAGGAAATTTCGGCGAAGCCGCTATAGTAAAATTTTGGGGAAATGGCACAAAAACCCAAAAATTTCCCCAGGCCTGGGGAATTTCCCCAATATTTCCTCAAAATTCCCCTTTAACTTTGGTGAAGGTCATTTGTCTTCGGGTGTTTCCCAAAATTTCCCCAAGATTGGAAGCTCGGGTTTTTGCGAAAATCGGACTCGCATCTGTGTTCGACCGAATCGTCCCATAGTGATTAGGGGCGAGTTAATGTAATACACTAAGTCAAAAACTATATATTTGTTAAAATCTCACTGATTGAGTCCATAATAAATGGAACGGAAAATAATAGGGGAAAATATCATTCTGTATTAAAACTCATGAACATTGCAAACACGAAGAAGTTTGTTAAAAACTTTAATTTGTGTATGACATGTGAGTTTCAGGAACAAATGATCACCTTCATGTGTTAGTTTAGACTAAATAACTTTTCTGAAATCTGGCTTTAAATTCATGAGGTGGTTTTTGATATTTGGTAAAATTTACTGGGGCTAGTCTAGCCACTTTGTTGATGTGGTCCACCTAAAGCTAACATATATACTTTGCAGAGGTTGTTTAGAAGATTTGTCACGAAATTATGGGACTGGTGGAATATATTGCCAACATGTTATCGGTCCGTATTGGCGAAGGAAAACCCCAAGATCCATAGCTCCGGATTTACCTAGCTGAAGGTGCTCAGTCACAAATCCGCACCAGACCATGAATGAGCACGCCGTGCTACGCGTCCCTTTCAACTATTGGTCAGCCTAGATCAAACGTTCCTTGACATACCGACAGCATTCCAAATATATCTCCAAGCTCCTTCAATTTTTACTTCTGAAGATGTTACTAGTAAAGGCGTTGTCAAACACCGAATAACTGCGATATCTTTAGTGGTGAGACCGACTTGATTTGGCACGCCGATTCGTAAGCTGAGCTTGTTGGTTGTTGGAACATCATATATTACTTCTTGATTGTTGCTTTTTTACATATTGTGATATTGTTTTCATATTTTTGGAGGTATATTTTCTCGTCCATTGGTATACTTTATATCCATTATGGCAGAACAAACCCCTGAGCTGTTTAAGATAAAGGCTCTTTCGCCACCCTCTTTTAAACTAATGCCATTCTGGCCAGACAACACCGAATTTTGGCCCTGCTAAGCTAACTTTTACGAGCGCGGTGTGACAGACCCCAGTTCACAATTTTTCGCAGTAGTGGAGTCACTGGGAAGCCATTTTGACAGGTGCGTCCCACCTAGTATGCGAAATAGTGATGTTTCAGGACCTTACGAAACTTTAAGAATAACTACTCGTAAGCGTGGAGATCTAACAGACCGACAAATGTTAGACTAACTTTCCAACAACACCGATCTACAACATGGCTAAGCGACAGAAATGTTGCTACGAATGTGAGAGGTCATTGGTTAACGGACGTTTGACGAGGACTTGTTTAGACAGTTATTTTTTGTTAAACCTTCTCCAACAGATGTAGGCAGTTCTTGTCTCGTCTCAAAATGAGGCTATAGACGAGCTGGATACATTAGTAGGCCGGATTCTGGGAATCACTAGAAGTTCCAACGTCGAGATCAATTTAGTCAAAGAGAAGCTCTAAGCAGCACAAAATGATGTCATGGACCTCTTCCATACTCTGATAAGTTAGCTTTATACTCGTTACGATCATTTACACTCTCAAACTTCTCGAGAGAGTACTTCACGGAAGCGATCTGTCTCTAGATTACGAGAAACAGATAGCCCTGATTAGTGTTAGCATCATAAAAACCATGAAAATTTTTCGAAAACCCTTCAATTTGTGTGTTTGAACAGATACTCCCTAGCACCTCTGTGACTGCGCGACGATCTAAATAGAGACCCAATCACTGTTAGTCTGATTTCTTCTATCAATAGAACGAGGGTTACTTATAGGAGCGAAACTGATGAGCTGCATTGAACACAAATTTTATTTCATTTTCATTACTAATATTTTTTACATAGTTGTAAAGTAGGCCTTCAGATTATCCTTAACTAAAGTTTGGTATATATATTATACATAGTTTTTTTATCTTAAGGTATTCGTGTTGTGGCAATCGCTATTGGTTTATATTATTTTACTACATTGGTCATATACCTCATGAAAGACTGAATACAAACCCGAAAAATGGAAGACTTGTCACTAATGGAGATAGACACCGCTTTGACTACGAAAGCCCGACTTCCAGAATTTGATCGTAGTGAACGTGAGTTATGGTTCGCTCAACTAGAGCATTATTTCTATAAGACACAATATCAAATCTGAAGGAATTCGCTACGGGGACTTATGTTCTGTACTCTCTCCTTTATTCGCCTAAGAAATCAGTGACTAGGTTTTAAGCCCACCATCACCACAACCATAAAACTTCTTAGTACGAGAGATGATGAACCACTTATCGTCATCAGACGGTCAAAGAATCCAAAGGCTTTTCCAAGGAGAAACATCAGGTGATAGGTCGCCGTCACAGTACTTATGTCACCTCAAATTCTTGGTGGGTGGCAGCACAGTGAGTGTAGCAGTCCTAAAACAAGGATGAATACAAGCTCTTCCATGCTATGTTCAACACTTTTCTGATGCAAAAGATCCTGAGACTCCTTCATCTCACTAAGCGTGTATAGCGTCAACTGGAACACGCACGACAAATCACACACAAAAAGCAGAACTATCGAAAACTAAAGTCATAGAAGGACTCATTGCGAGTGTTAAGAGTCTCACTGAAGCTGTCTCCAGAATGCAAAGGGGTCACAGAAACAGGAGCAGGTCACCACACCGACTAACATTCAAGTCAAAAAATAGGTCACAGATGTTCAGATTACCTGGGTAGTTCTGTTGGTACCACTGGAAGTTTGCTGTCAACTCAACCAAGTGCATGAAACCATGCGCCTGTCCTGAACGAAATGTCAATAATAAAGGAGACAAATTACGTCTACCCAGGTTGCGATGACTGAGAAGGAGTGCCTAAACAGTCACTTGTTTTATGTTAGAGACAGAAACTCAGGCTTGAACGTCTTGGTCGATACTGGCGCTGCTCCTAGTATTATCCCCTAGAACAAAACTGAACTGGGTCGAGAAACATCCCCAGTTACACCGTATGCCGCCAATAAAACTAAAATCGCGACATTTGACTAGAAAACTTTAATACTAGACTTGAGGTTCAGGAGGCGATTTCCCTGAGTTTTCACTGTAGCCGATTTAGATCTGGCAGTATTAAGGATGGACTTTCTAGAGAGATATGGACTCCTAGTTGACACTAAAAGACGATGCCTAACATTGAAAGGACCTTCGAATTGCACAAAAGGCAAAGAAATTCACATCACATTTCTAAACTTGATCCAAGCTCTCCCAGTAACAACAGCTAAGTTCTAAGATATACTCGCAGAATTTACAGACTTAATTAAAACGAACCAACAGCCTTCCAAGTACAAACTTAAAGTCGTACTGTAGTGATCAAGAACACGATTGGGGTAATCGTATGTAGCTGAAAACAAAATTTCAGAACGTCTTACTAAAAGCTAAGAATCATACAGTAAATACTTAGTTTTCAAAACATTAATCGATTGTCTAAAACTTGACGATTCTTTTGCAAACATCAGTCCATTATCTCAGATTTCATCTTTCGTGCATTTCATACCAATTGCTTTCCGTTCCCGTCCTTTCCTTTTCGATCTTCTGCTGAAATACATTCTATTCCCGACCAGCTACTCTAAACCTGTCAATGTAACCAGTGGGGTTATACAAGGAAGTGTGATTAGTCCATTACTCTTTCTCCTTTTTATCAATGACGTGGGTTCCCTCTTTCAGTATGGTAGACCTTTCTTTTTCGCCGATGACCTAAAAGTGGTCTATTCATTGGTTGTACACGCGCGCGCTTTTGAAGGTCGTGACTTTTTCACGTGGTACTATTTTATTTTCCTATCAGTTTTTCCCCTTAATTTAACACTTATTAGCGATGAATTATTCGTCACTATCAACTAGACACCTCATTTTGGAACTCAACGTCATACATTAATTTTGCTACTTTTCACGCTGTCTATAGAGATACCTCTATCACTAATTAACGTTAATATATTTGCTCTTAACTAATACTAAATCTGATCCTACCATAGAACTTTGCACGTCTATTAAGTTAAATTATAACTGTCACTGTTCACCTAATTAAACTTTACATCTACATTATTTCCAATAACGCCTAGGCCATCTAAAAAATATATAATCTTTCCTGATGCCTATAGCACTTGTAAAAGATTTAAATCAGTCATTAAAGCGAATAATGTGAAACTTTATAAAGACACCGATTAGTCTGCATCCTACTCTGATTTTCCTTCGGCTACACTAAACGTGTACTGTTTACTTGGGCATGACACTACCTTGTATTTCGCTTGTAGATATAAATAAGAGCAGTCACATACCGTTAGAGTCAACATCATTTGTTAGTCCAAACAAAAGCATCACATGTTGTGAGCAGTATTAAGACGGTGCAGCTGGCCCCAAAAATCCAACAATCTTACAATCGGCCATCCTGAGCAGTGGCCCACAGAGTACATGTAAGCCTGCCTACAATAGCCAGCCCGATGATGTAGATCTTGACTACTCACCCAGACATATACTCCATCCCCCAACTAAGTATGCACAAAGTGACCACCCGGTAGACACTTGCAACAGGTCTGTATGTAACCATATCGACCTTAAAAACTTTGATATTAATTCCAATAATCTCATCACTGGTAGATCTAAAAGCAGCCAAACAAAACTTAGCCTCACCCAAACT